TAATCCAGACAGGGTGTACTAAATATAAATAGCTTGAAGAAAGGTTTAATACCTATAATAATCTATACCTCTCTAGGGCCGGGGATTTCACTCAGTGGTTTCGCTGCCTACTGTGCAAGCGCAAGTTCGATCCCAGGTACCAAACAAAAAAAATCCATACCTCTCATAGATACCTTGAACTAGGTAGGAAAGGACAGAGTGTGGCAGATGGAGAATCTTCATGAGAAATGGAAATAGGAATGAGATTCATCTAATTGGGTGGCATAGAACAAAGTAAATGAACTCAAAAGCAGTTTTGGGTTAGTTGTGTTTTCTCTATTCAACAGATTTCCTGGAAAACTGACATAACACATAACCTCTCATGATCCCCACCTTAAATAACAGCTATATCATTTATCCTCGGTGCATACAGAGAATGGCTATTTCTCTGGGAAAACAAAAGGCATTTCTGGGGTCACTTAGGAATTTATTTTTATATATTTGGGGGAGGTGGACAGTCTTGCTATGTTCAGGTAGCCCTTGAACTTACTATATAGCCCAAGCCAGCCTCAAACTTACTTCAATCTTCCTGCCTCAGCCTCTGGAGTGCTGGGATTACAGGCCAACATACCTGGCATCACTTAAATACTTTCTCACAAGGTTTGACTTTTGTTCTAAGAGCGCATGAAAAAGAATGCTGCCACGAGCTGTACCTTATACCTTTGGGATTAACTCCAACCTTCAGAACCATGTATGAGTGGACTCAAGGTAGTTATTTGAGTGATCCAGTCTTTGAAAACTCATTGTAAATAACTTGGCTGCTCTTCAGGTTGGAATCGACAGATAAGACAATTAAAATCCTGCTCCATAAACATAACTGAGTAAGAGGTTAAAAGAGAGTGGAAATACATCTTAAGAGGACAAGAGAGAAAACAATACTCAATGTCACTGAAGACTAGGATAATGCAATGACAGCTTATACAAATATATGCCAGATTCCTTACTGGCCTACTTTTCTGTAACTCCATATTTTTAAAAGAAAGAAACTGGATCACAGATCTTTTAAGAAATCTCTTAAATCATTTTCTGCTTCAGTTAAATTGATATTAGAACATGTAATTTAACAGGGCATCTGAAAGTCTAATTTCAATATTATCCAAGCTAAAGCACTTTTTTTTTTTTTTTTGGTACTGGGGATCAAACTCGGGACCTTCCGCCTTGTGAGGCAGGCACCGGAACCACTGAGCTAAATCCCCGGCCCCCCTAAAACACTTTTTAAACTATCTTTTCTATCTTGTCACCTCCCACAGGTGGAGAAGGAAGTGTTTTCCTGTGAATATACAGGGACTATATGCTGGTTCTTCCTACTTGTGAGGCTTATAAAATAGGGCCACGTTTGTACAGAATACATTATACCACACTTGACATCAATTAAGTACTATTTAAAATCTTGGTTTATGGGTGAAGAAATTGGAAAGGGCTCAGAGAAAAATAATGACCATAACTTAAGTTTGGAATCCAAGACAAAAATTATATAGGTAAAGTGGATGCAGTACGCTGAATCTTGGATGTCTTTATTTTCTAGTTTTTTTATTTTCTTTCAGGTTTGAAGACACTCAGGAACAGTATATCAGAAGTTCACAGGAATTTTTGAACTCAATTCAAAATAATGGAGGAACTCTCTGGAGAGATCCTCTCAGAGATACATCCTTCTCACTTCTTTTCCATTTGTTCATTCTTCATTTAGCAAACTGTAGGGGACAGGGGAAGGGGACGTTACCAGAACCTCTGCAGTGAGTCCTGGTCTCCTGTGAGCCACGGCAGCACACGGCGAATTATAGGAAAGGTAGAAAAATGAGACTGAGAAGAAGCTGAGCTTTGGGTCTGATCAGTGCTACTCTGGGCAGCAAAGACAAAGCCCCCAGCTTACCACACCTTTTATTCAGTACATCGGGAGAAACAAATGTAACAAATGACT